AATATGTTCACATATAATAATTATGTACACCACCGAGAATAGATTTTCTATTCAAATTATTTGCTGATGGAGTGTGTGGATTTTTTAAAAATCGTGTAATGCCTCGTATATATGTTCAAGTTTGTTTATATAAATCTTTTAATAATTATATTTTCTTTTTATTTTTTAGTGTTTCTAGTAATGGATTCGGGAAACAGTTCGGGAAAAGATATCACAAATATTTCTGACCCAGCGCGAAAGTATGGTACTCCAGATCCTAGTAATCGAAATAAATTTTTATGAAATTTCTGTCAAAAAGTTACTAAAGGAGGAGTTTATCGGTTGAAGCAACATTTAGTTGGAGGATTTAGAAATGTGATCAAATGTTCTCGTTGTCCCGAGCATGTGAAAATAGAAATATCAGATTTTATGAAGAAAAAAGCATCTTTAAAGATTGAAAGTCAAATGATACCTCGTGAATTTGAATTGGTTGGTGACTTGGATGGGGAAGAAGAGAGAGTTTTTGTCAACAAAAAACAAAGAACAAAGGGGCTAATGGATATGTTTGTCAATCCTAAAGCTGATCCGAAGAAAGATGGGAATGAAGTCTATAAAGCCATTGACAAGAAGCTCAGGGAGAAAACTTGCAGGTCAATAGCAAGATTTTTTTACGATAATGGAATTCCGTTCAATGCAGCTACCAGCCCATGTTATGGAGAAATTGTTGGACAATACGGTCCAGGGTTGAAACCACCATCCATGTATGAATTAAGAGTTCCACTTCTTGTTCAAGAAGTAAGTGATACGGAGGTATATTTGAATGAGCACAAGAAGGAGTGGGCACAAAAGGGTTTCTCAATTTTATCGAACGGGTGGCGTGATTCGATTGCTAATAAGGATATCGTGAACTTTCTTGTTAACTCTCCAAAAGGTTCGGCTTTCCTTAAATCAATTGATGTCTCAGAAATTGTAAAAGATGCCAATTTATTATATCATTTGCTTGATGAGATTGTCGAGGAGGCGAAGAAAATGTGATCCAAGTGGTGACAGACAATACTTCTAATTATGTCGACAGGTAAACATTTTTTTTATTTTTTAGTGTTTATTTGTCTAAACATTTTTAATAATATTTTTTGTTAACTTGTAGTAAAATTGCTTGAAGCAAAACGATCACATATTTTTTGGACTCCGTGTGCAGCGCATTGCATCAATCTCATGTTGGAAGATATCGGAAAAATTCCAAAGATAAAAAATGCAATAAAGAAGTGCATGCACATGAATGGCTATATATATAATCATGTTCCTCTTGTGAACATGATGAGGCGATTTACAGGTCAATGAAATTTGCATAGACCCGCAATCACCAGGTTTGCTACATCATTCATCACTCTTTTGCACTACCACAAACAAAAAAATAATTTGAGGAAAATGATTACTTCACAAGAATGGAATGAATCCAAGTGATCAAAGGAAACGGGAGGTAGAAGATTGGCAACATATCTTTTGCAAAAGAGTTTTTGGAGGGATGTGCTTTATACTCTTAAGTTGACAAGACCTCATTCATCACTCTTTCTCAGGATTGTTGACGGAGAGAAAAAACCACCGATGGGTTATATTTATGCAGCCATGGATAGAGCTAAAGAGACAGTTGTTTCGAGTTTTAGATTGAAAGAGGGGAATGCCAACTTCATCGACCTTTGCATGTAGCCGGTTATTTTCTAAACCCAAGTCTCCATTATGATAATCCAGACACAACTTGTGAAGAAGTTATGAAGGGTGTCTACGAGTGTATTTCCAGATTGTCGCATTCTTTCGATACGGAAAATCTAATAATAAAAGAATTAGCAGAATATAGATCTGCAAATGGTCTATTTGGTTTACCGACAACCATTAGACTAAGGAATACACAATCTCCAGGTATCAAATTTTAAAATTTAAGATATATATTATATTACTTGTGTTATATTAGGAATTACTAACATTTTTTTTTACATTTTTATAGCGGATTGGTGGATTTCTTTTGGATCTTCTACTCTCCATCTCCAAAAGTTTGCTACAAAGATCCTTAGTCTCACTTGCAGTGCCACTGGTTGTGAAAGAAATTGGAGCGTTTTTCAACAAGTAAGTAATATCTAACATTCTTTTTATTTGTATTAAATTAAATTATGTATTTTTAATATGTTTTAAATTTGATTTTCAGATTCACACAAAGAAGAGGAATAAGTTAGAATAAAGTCGATTAAATGACTTGGTTTATGTCAAATATAATCGAGATTTGAAACGACGACACAACATGAATGACACCAATGATCCTATTATGTTGGAACATATTGATGAAAGTAATGAATGGCTAATTGGTAGAATGGAAGGTAGCTCAGATGAAGACAATGATTTTGTGTTTAGTGGTGATGATGGCCTCACGTGGGGTCAAGTTGGTAGAGTTGCTGGAGCCCATGATCCTAGTTATCATACTAGAGGATCAACAAGTGCAAAAAATAGTACTACTTCTTCCTCGTCAATTCATAAAGGAAAGGGTATTGCTTATTCCGATGAGCAGGAAGAAGATATCGGGGAAGACAAAGATTATGAAGATGATGGAGAATACGAAGATGTCGATTTTGATTAAATGTTTCACAAATGAATATTTACATTTTCTCTTTGTTTATTTTACTTGGACTTATTTTAGATAATTTGATAATTGAATTTTATATTTACAGTATATTTAAAATTTATTCTTGCTAATTTTTTATTTACGCGCCTCGCATACGTGAGGCGTGCGCCTTCGCCTTGCGCCTCGCATACATGAGGCGTGCGCCTTCGCCTTGCGCCTCGCGCCTCGGTTTTTTAGATCTTTTGCGCCTTGAGCCGCCTCGCGCTTTTTTAAACCAAGGTCTTTTGTTCCTTTTTTTAAAAAAAACTAAGGGTTTTGAAGGATAGTCCGTGAAATCTTTGTAGCAAAATAAGGGTACTTTTGCTATTTTGCCAACTTTTCATTTGTTTTTCTATGTATAGAAATGAAATGAGAGGGGAAAAATGGAAGAGTTGAGAGAAAGATAAGAGTGGAGAGAGAAAGTTAAGAAAGAAATGGAGAGTTATCAAAGTCTGAGAGCGAGAGAAAAGAGTTCAAAATGACTAAGCAAGTGGGGAGAATAAAATAATATTTTGATATTGTTTTATGGTGTGTCACCTCGTTTTTCTGATAGAGTTAATTATGTCTTTTGTTTCTTTTTTAAAAAAAAAACTAAGGGTTTTGAAGGATAATCCGTTGAAGTCTTTGTAGCAAAGTAAATGTACTTTTGCTATTTTGCCAACTTGATATCACCATATGTGAGTCCGTTTTTTAATCTCTTGACTCTTTTTTTAATATATAAATGAAATTATAATGATCTAAATCTGATGTAATAAATCGGTTGGTCGTTATTTATATTTAAAAAAAACTTAGCTTACCAATATCAAACTATGTAATTTTATGTTTATAACTTAAGTTTTAACTGGTAAAATTCATTAACATAAGACTGCAAACCGAAGATTTTAATCCAAAGATAATAGAGAATAAAGACAACCATAATTAAACAATCCATAAAAGAAATTGATGGTTTTTATACTTTAGAAAAATTCGAAATATAACATTTATATTTTTTATTGATATATTGATATGAATGCCTTACTTTTTCAATCATATGATTTGGGTGTTTGTTATATATATATATACACACATATATCAGTATCTTTGAATCGTTAAAAAATGATTCTAAATTCTCTATCATATTGTTATCGTGGGACCGATGATTAATTAAGACCAACATGAGATGTGATTGATGATCATAGAGATTATCATGCACATTGGATGCAAATTACGATTATGAGTGCTCGTTCGTAACGAGTGATTGGATGATCCGTATGAGATTATCATATGGACATGACTTGAATCTTATGTATCGTTTCGTTCTTGGATTTCAGATTTAAAAAAAAAGGTTGGGGGATATCACCCTAACCCTAATGCACACTTTCTGAGCTCTTTGACAGTACTAAAACACCAGAGAAACAATGATCATGGTATTCTAGTTTTCGGGATTCGACCCCAAGGTTTGAAAACTCTTTTTCTCTATATAGATCTTAGCATATCAGTTTCAAAAGTCTTTGAAATCCTTTTTGTTGGAGTGGTACATGTAGAGGAATTGTACTTTCAATTCTAGGTGATTTAAACAGACCTTGGATCTATTTCTACTTCAAGCTCCTCTAGGAACGAAGTAAATTCCGTTTCTAACATGACGGTTTTCTTTTAGGTTTTGTTTTTCTTTCCGCTGCTGCGTGAAAACACAACTACTCTACAAGTATCCGTAGTTGCGGGAAAGATTTCGAACACATCAGAACGGAAGTGATTTGCTAGGATATATGAAGTAAATAGTCTCAAAATATCGAGATTAAATCGCGGGAGGTAGAACACAAGAATAATGATTTCTCTTGATTTCTATGACGTGCCTCTGAGTTCTATAGATCTTATATGTCTGGACGGTGACACTAAATAAGTCTAAACCCCTAAAATTCAAAAAAAAAAAATATCTGAGATTTGAATCGGTTCAGTCCAAATCTGGACTGGTCCGATTCAAGTTCTCGCATGTCGCTTTATGGGCCGGATCAGTGTGAGCTCGGCTTGGACCTGAACCGGTCCGATCCAGAGTGTGGTCGAGCCTAAACCGATGGTTTAGCTTATTCTTCTGCTATTTCGATAATTTTTTGAGATTCCATGTTAATTGTTATATACATTAATCATAAAACTATTTATTTCAATCTCGTTCTGCCCATCTCGTCTGCAAATCCAAGCACCGATTCTATTCCACAAGTTCAAACTCTTACTGCGAATCACATAAAATGAGTCCTCCCCTCGATGAATCCTACACAGAAATCCCGTATTTCGCCATCGATCAATCGTTTCTCATTCTGCATAAAACCCAGAAGAAAAGGAATCAAGACAGATGCTTTCAGGGTATCTTTTTCTTGCCTATGATCACTTCAAAGGATGAATTTGGAAGAGGAACTCTGCCACTGTGTTAACTAATTAGGAACAAGAAACAATGATAAAACCAGAAAGAGCATCCAAAGCGTTAAGAGATCAAAGATAAATAAATCCGAGCAGATGAAATAATCTCGTACAAACCAAGATTTCACACTAATTAAGGATCAATGGGCATGGTGGGGACAAAAGGTGACCAAATAATTGGCCTTGGAACAAGTAGCAATGCTTGTGGGGTCATCATACGCGTAGGAATAAGCCTTTGGACAAGCAGCTTTGAAGATCTTTGAGTAAGCAGTGGGTCTGCAAGACTGTGGGTTACCGAAAGAGCCGGTGCAACAATACCGAGGGGAGTTGAAGGCGGAGCACGCACTCTTACAGGCTACTACCTGTTTCCCGTTCCTTGACCGGACTTGTAAACCGACCGGACACATCCGGTTTAGGTCGCTCACGCAACCGGCGTAGCTGCATTGTCCCGACCCTTTCACCGGTTGGATCGACATCGCCAGGTTGTACCTTCACCAAGATCTATGGCGTCAGATCTTTAGACCAGACGTCAGGAAAGTATATTGGAAAAGATTGTGAGAAGAAATGTGTGTACCCATCGACGAGGCTGACGTCATAGAAGTCCTTGTCGTTACCGAGGGTGATCTCGGCAAGAGTCGCCGGAGGAGCACCGCCGAGGCCGTTGCAGAGGAGGGAACCACCGCAGTCGCCGGTGGCGCAGCGGCCGCGTCCCGACCGGTCGAAGGCGCAGCCATGGCGGCCCCAGAAACGTCCGGACCAAAGCGAGGGGAGTTGGAGAGTGAAGGCTTTGTTGGGAAGGAGCTTGAATCCGCCACCGGCGATGAGCTTTTGGCCTGCGCTTGGTTGGATCCCTGGCCAAACTGGGTGTGCACACTTGTTGTACATTGTCACGGTTGTTGCTGTCAAAGATGAAAGACCCAATTGAAAAAAAATGTTTCTTTTTTCTGTGTTGGGTTTTGGAACCTGTGATTTTTTAAATCCGAAATGTACAGAGATGTATAGGGAACGTGTGCGTGTATGAGTGTGAGAGAGATATTTCCGGAGAAACTCTGCATTCCGTCGATGTTTCCCGGAAAATCTCTTAACAAAGTGTACCTTTTCCCGGAAAAATCGGTTCCTAGAAAATGCAGTTGCATTGTAATACCAAAATATAAGATCCAAGTTGCGGTCTTTATTTAAACCCAGATTAGGGATTTGCATATAAGTTCATCGTTATTCCTGCACTTCACGCAAATCTACATTTTCCCGGAAAACTGAAGTTTCCGCGAAAATCTGGGTGATGTATGTGTCACAATGCAGTCTACCATTAGAAGATCCCAAGTTGAGTTTTTGCCCTAAAACCAGATTAGGCATTGCCATAAAACGCAAATGAGATACGAATCGAAAACAGAACAGTAATTAATGAAGAATACCTGAAGCTTGGAAGAGAAGAAGAGTAAAGGCGAGGCAGAAGAGCGAGGTGGAAGCCATTAATGGAGTGTGAGTGAAGTGAAAGAAGAAGAGAGTGGAAATCTCAGTGTTGATGGATTCTGCTGCCGTTGCAAATTCCTTTATAGACCCCGAAACTTTTTTTTTTTTTTGGAAAAGAGATGTTTGCATCTTTTTTCAACGTTAAGTTTTATAACGGCGATGAGAGCAAGAATAATCTTTTTCGGTCATTTTTTTTTCAATTATTTATATTTCATCCAAAAATAAGAATATATATAATTACATTTAAATGAAATTCGATTTAAATGTCCTAATTAGGCTCTTAATTGGTATTCCAATGATAACTTTGAATTCATTCACGAGGAAAATACATTTAATCATCTTACTAGATATGTCATAACTTTATAAAAGTATAAATCACTTTCTAGGATCCATATAAGTTTTGCTTTAAATATTTCACCTGTAATTCTTACATGAGTTACTAGCACATTCACATCTACCATATATATATATTGAACGTACGAAATTTTAATGACCAATGCATTGAACTGAAAATGACTATTAAAAAGATGAGATTTGGGGAAGGTAATAATGACAAAGCTGCCCCATTTATCGAGGCTGTCAGAAACCCTAAGTGGGTGATAGCTTGCCCTTTTTGTCTTTGTAATCCTTCGGTTAAAATAAATTCTACTCATTTTGTTATTTTTGTAATTTAGAAATACCTTTTGATAGTAACAATTACATTTGAAATGATACACGAAATCCGAGATGGAGATTAATAACAGAGACAACTTAAAAATCCTAAACAGCTTTTAAAGTTTTTTTAGACGTTAAATATTTATGGGAAAATCCCAAAAAAGTATCCAAATTTTTTAATTTTTCAAAAAAAAATTTAACTATGTTTTTTAAAAATAAAACTTTAACTATTTTTTGTGTTAGAAAAAAATATAAAATTTATTATTTTTAAACCTAAATACTGACATAAATTTGATCGAGTTATATACGTTATCATCCACATCATCATAGACACTATACAGTTCGATCAAATAACAAATTGATATATATGATATTAGAATAATACATCATCGTTTGGAGTTTAAAAAAGATAATAATTATAAAGTTTGAGTTTTATTTGGTAAAAAATAGAGTTAAGATTTTTTATAGAAAATTTGAAAAGTTTGGGTATTGTTTCAAATTTTTCCAATATTTATCACACCAAACTTAGTACATTTTGCATCGTTAGCATTTTCTCAAAACCTCATAATTTTACACAAATTTTTAAATTAACATTAAATTATATTAAAATTTAAAATTTACCACAATTCGTTACCAAATTTAAATTAACAACGAAATATTCCGCAATGTGTTACACCAGTCAACAACGTTAAAATTTAGCCATTTCATAATTAAGACGTTGATGTACATGCATACTTATACATTCATATATACATATATATACACACACAATTATATATATACGTATATATATATATACACAGTGATCGATCTAGACAAAAGTATGAAAGAGAACAATAATTTTATAAATATGATTTTACAGAAATAAATTTTATTTTTATGGATAAGATTTTTATCTATAATTTTATAAAATTTATAAAAAATTAATATGTTTTAATTTATGACCTCACCCCATGAATCCATCTATACACGTGTGTGTATATATATATATATACATATTTTTATGTATATGTATAAATTTATACACAGCCATCAGATCCTTCTCATTCTGATGCGTTCGATTTATCTATGTACCCTTTATCCAAAAGCTTGTAAGGAAACGCCCTTGTCCGTATCTCTCGCACCGGTGATCATTAATGTCATGATAGTTTCAACGTTTTGTAACAATACTGCGTCGTTACATTTACAATCGAAATAATCGGTTTTCTAATCATATGTGATCATTAAAAATCGCAACCTTTACGGGCGATTGCATATGACTCAGTCACCACCATAATTATTAATTTTATTTTACGCGAAGCGCATCGAGGAAGAGAATCAAACAAGAACGTATGCTGCGTACTGTCGACCTCTTCTCTCTGTGGTGGTGCTGCCTCTGTGGTCGACATTTATAATGGGTCCCACATGCAAGAGATTCTCCTCCATTGGAATGCTTGTGTTCTTTTCTTTTCCCTAGGAATGCTTGTCGTTTTTCTTGCGTTTACCTATTCCAATTAATATTGTCATGTTTAATTAAAGCCGCAACTACTAAATTCGTATCAGCACCAAAGCCTCGTTCAAGTAGATGCAACAAAACTAGAAATCTGGATCAGATTTGAAATTGATTTTTTCCGTATATCTCACGGGTAACTGGATAATAGAGTTACATTTATGTTTTTATTATTTAATTGTATTTATCTTTAAATCTGTTTTATATCAAAATTACTAATATGCCGTATAATCAATATAAATAACGAAATTTAAGTGATGTGCGGAGAATTTCTCGGATGCGCGAGATTTTTCGGACCTGTCCGGAGTTTCTCGTAGCTGTGCAAACGTAACGAACAACAGCATAGTCAGAAAAACTTTGTGCAGATCCGAGAAACTGCTCGTGGTCGTGGACATATGTTGGTTTCTGCGTTCCTAAGCATTCTGTCGAAGCATGGAGCTGCATAGATACGAGTTTGAATACTCGGTATCCGACTCCAACAGCAGATACACAGATCACGAATATCCAGAGTTATTCTTAGAAAATCTGCGGGGACGAAACCGAGATAGGCTACCCCATAAGGTCCAAGTGTCCGCCTACATCCACCCGTACGTACAAGTGATGAAATCTTTGCGTTAACATTGTTTTGAAAAACTTAATTTTATACAGGTGGGGCCTAATGGCTCTTTCCTGTATATGCACGTATAGTGCATGCACACCATACCAATGTGGAGAATTTTTCAAGTAATATGCTGATAAATCATCGTCAGGTCCAACACTTGGGATTCTTACCAAACGTGAGGATTAAGACAAGTGCAAAATAACACTATTTATTCAAAGCAGAACAAAGAGGGTCACTCAATCAGACATGAGGGCCGTTGGAGCTGAGCTTTCTTTTATTGGCGATGAACAAACCCCACCTCTGCTCTCCGCTCGAGCTCCTCATCAGCTTCGCCTTCCACCCACCCACTATCTCCTCGTAATCTTCCTGCGTTTTACAATACCATACAAAACTATCGTCTTTTCGGGTTGATTAAGAAGAGAGAGAGAGAGAGAGAGAGAGAGAGAGAGAGAGAGAGAGAGAGAGAGAGAAAAGAGAGAGACAGGGAGAAAGAACTTTGGAGAAGTCTAGGATGAATTCTTCCTTTTCCTTCTCGACGGCGTCCAATTCCCGTTTCAGGACTTGCATGAACTGAATTTATCACACAACCAATGGTTTAGGTTATAATTCGCAAGGAAAGGAGGGCTCATCAGAGTTTAAAGCATTTAAAAAAACATACCTGATCGGTTCGGTCCTCTGCAGTTACCTCGTCAAATCCAGCATCCTTGAGCATCTGCATATGTAAGTTGGGCAATGTTACCATAGACACTAGAGCACAGGGAGAACGAACTTTGGAGAAGTCTAGGATGAATTCTTCCTTTTCCTTCTCGACGGCGTCCAATTCCCGTTTCAGGACTTGCATGAACTGAATTTATCACACAACCAATGGTTTAGGTTATAATTCGCAAGGAAAGGAGGGCTCATCAGAGTTTAAAGCATTTAAAAAAACATACCTGATCGGTTCGGTCCTCTGCAGTTACCTCGTCAAATCCAGCATCCTTGAGCATCTGCATATGTAAGTTGGGCAATGTTACCATAGACACTAGAGCTGACCAACTGGGTTATTAATTAACACATAATGTATTTGAATCGAATTTGATATAAAAACGGAATGAGTAAAATTTCTCTAAAAACAAATACAAACATAAAAACCCGATTTTGTTTTTTAAGAACGAGTAATTTTATCAATAAAAACCGAAACAAAAAAACTAAGATAACCGAAACCCTAAGTGACCACCATTAATAGAAACCCGAAAGTTCCTATTTAAGAATTACTGTTCTTACTGTTACGGAGAACGGCGAACCCCAATTGTATTATATGAGGTGCGTTCTCCTCCCCTTTGTGATCAAATATCGTGGTGATCATTTCTTTCATTAACCATCCAGGAATTTCGAGAGATTTTTTAGGATGGGAAATACAGAGGGTTCTTCCGCGTGTATTACCTGACCGTAGGCTTGTATATCGTGAAGATCGTATCCTCGTTGCTCGATGTACTCTGCAAAATCTGGAGATGGAGCTTTTGGACTTCTGCAGTAATCGGAAATAAGCACCTTGCCTCCCGGCTTCAACCATTTGTAGAATGTCCTGAATAACGCCGGCTTGTCCTGTGATTACAAAGTGTTAATGATAACAAAAACGGCATTTGCGGAGCCAAAATTTAGGTTCTTTTCGTTTTTGTTTATGTAAGAATCTATTCGAGATTTACTTGGATGTGGAGAATGGTGTCTCGGCTGTAAATAACATCGAATGTGTTAACTGGGTATGACTTCTTGGTGCAATCAGCCACTTCGAACTCCACAGAGCATTTGAGCCCGATGGCACGTTCAAGCGCGAACGATATCATGTTGATGGATAGATCAATTCCCACAACGTCGACGTCAAAGTTCTCTGCCATGTAGAAATCCCCTCCTCCGATTCCGCACCCGACATCTAGAACTTTCTGGCCAGGCTTCAAATCCAGCTTGCCCACAAATTCCTTTGTTGTCTCTGTAACCAACGCCCAATTGAAAAAAAAACAATGACATATAAGGAAAAGGAAAATAAGTCAATCAATTTTATCAATAAAAGTGACAGAAAATGATAACGACCAATAGATGATGTAGTTAAGGAAAAAGAGCACAGACCAATTCCCCCAGTGCTCACGTAACCTTGTCCAAAGACACGCTCGTAGCGTAGGATGCCACTAGATTTATACTGGACGTTATCCAAGAAGCGTTGGAAACCCCGATCATTATCCGAACTGACTTTTTGCCATATCCAGCAAATCTGGTATTTGTAAAAAAAAAATGACCGTATCAGTGAACAAGTTCAAACAGAGGCACAAAAAGATAGCTCAAAACTTCAAACGAGGCGCTTTTTACCTGGTTCTGGTTCTTCTTGTTTCTCACATAGGCTCCAATGCATTTACAACTAACTAAAGAGAGCTCGAAAGAATTTCCAGCCTCATCGTGCATATGGCATTCTTTGAAAACCTGCAGATTAATCATATGTCTGAACAGAATGTCTACAAACCAAGAACAAAGGAATAGATAACTACAACATACCTTAGTGTAAGATCTGGGTTCACGGTAGTGAGTTGGATTGTACTTCCTTTTGCTGTCACCCGACTGATGGAAGCATGACTCTCTAAAGAAAACATATCCGCCGACCTTCAACCATTGTAGCATCCTTCTTGCCAGATCTTCCACCTGCAGTCAACAAAAGGACAAAAGAAAAAGTTCATTAGCTTCATTGAAGGTTAAAGGGACTATCAGAACCAGTCTGTATTCTAAGAAATGACACCATCAAAGTGAGTAAAACACAAAGCTAAACAACAGGTGTATGGTAACTCAGGCAGAAAGGCAGAAAGGCAGAAAGGCAGAAAAATCTATGCAGCATTTGTCCTCAAAGAATCCAATATTACAACACACATCGACACCTGTGACAAAATTTTGATTGCAGATGAGAGATTTTACAAAGCAGCATCTCCGAAATGTTTTGTTGTCAGTACTAATTAAAGCATACGGATAAAATTATGGTGAGATTCTGGCCATTTTGTGATTTATATGCACTGTGCCAAAGGTCTCGATTACAATCTGATGATAAAAAATAGCATTGTATGAAACTTAACTTTATCGTAACGCTCCCATAGATCTCAAATACAGCGAGCTAAAATTTTTAACTTCATTGAAACACTTCATGCTGCGACCTATAGTCTTAGGCTATTACAAATTGGTTATGAGTGTAAGAAATAAAAACTTTACCTCTTTATCAGAGAGATACATCAGTAGCCAGTTCGAGAATATTAGGTCCACAGACTCATCTGAAAACTTCAGCTCCGGGGATGTCACGTCAGCACACATAAATTTTACGTTCTTGTGGTGCCCATTGATGTTTTCATTCTGTAAACATGAACTTGTGAGAAAACTAGGAGAACAAATACCACACCGAACTAGAAACAACAAGAGTTGAGGCGATCCGACCTTCTTGATAACACTGTCAATAAAGTCGACAGCGATAACTTGGCCAGCCTTGAGAGCAAATTCACCAGTGAAACGACCAATGCCAGCTCCAAACTCTAAGACTGACTTCCCCTCGTACGGAGGAAGGATTGAAAGTATCTGCATGTGCAAAGGTAATTTACACCTTAGAAGCTTTCATTCGTGAAACAAGCAAGAATATGGTGAACAATATCTTTTAATCTATCATAGCTTTAAATAACATCGCCTAGCAGGCGAAACAATTTCTAAGAAATCGAGCAAGGACGATGTTTGAATTCTCTCAACCAATTTGGACATGATCTTTACGGTACCACAACTCTGATTCTTAATTTTCATTTGCAAATAGACTGTGTTTTGCTTGTCATGAATCTCCATGCCAAGATAATATTTGAGAATCATATTAATCTGAATGGAAGGGAACGACTTCAGATTCGGTAGGATGTACCTCAGGACGCTCTT